GAATTTATAAGGTACTAGCTACTCTCGCGGAGTTTCACTCGCTGCTCGGCTCCATTTAATCGTAGCGTAATGTTTTATAGCCTATAGCACACAGGAACATTGTAGCTATCTATCAGTGATAGAATTTATCCTTGTGTTTGTGTGAAAAAATCCGACCAGCGGTTCCAAAGATTACCTCCTACATACAAACTTACTTAAATATGAGTATATAGATTAACAATGCTCGCCACATCGCCAGAATAAGATGGAGAAAGATCGAGTAAGAGAAAATAGGTATCACAGAAGAGTGGTCACGTCCCTCAGCAATGAGGAATGAGGCGCAAGGAGGGAGAATTAAACAAGATTAGTATGGATTGAAGGTACCTGTATGTCAAGGGACCCGACATTCGGGTCCATGGTGGTTTAATGGTTACCTATCTAAAAACACATAAATAGTTGTCGTCAAATCGTTAATACCATTAAATGATAATTTATAGAATCAGGCGTACCTAACTTTGCGGAAATCCATGACATTTAATGTTAGGAAAATATTTTTTTTTCTTTTGTCGCTGTATAAAACCTTAAATATTTTTGCTAACATTTAACAATTAAATGATACTTATATGCTTACTTACCTATGTATTTTGCAGCTGTTACACATTACACCGCTTGGCTAGATAAACATGGAAACCATCTAATACAAAAAACATCATCATCATCATCATCAGCCTGTTGTCGTCCACTGCTGGACATAGGCCTCCCCAATTAAAAAAAAATCAACATCAACAAAATAAATACATCAACACCGGCAGAGTTGTGATTCGCCGTGAGCGAGGTTGCCGGAGGCCCATCTGAAAGCTGGGTACGCACTCGTTACTCCTCTGGGATTGCGGGTGTCCATGGGCGGCGCCGATTCCTTACCATCAAGTAATCCGTCTGCTCGTTTGAAGTGCTATAAATAACAAAACATAATTACCTACATAAAAATTTAAAAAAAGTTTTTTTTATTTGTTTTTGTGCCACACCATCATTTGATCATATCAATGAAACCTATTTTGTATGTTTCGCTCTTTTTAAGTAAAGGTACAATAATTGTGTATTTTCGTCGGTCAAAAATAATAAATTTAAAGTTGCATATTCAAAAATAATCGTACTACATTGGTGGATTTGACGACATAATGAATTTTAGATTTTTATTGGTTACATTGAGAAAAAAGTGTGCTGTTTGGCCCAAAAATATGATGACATTACATTTCTGTTTTCCATACCTACCTAATTAATAGAACAGTTTAGTTTTTGACGTTTCAATAAAAGTATTGAATTTGACGAGGTGTTAAATACCACGTTGACTTAAACATAAAGATAAAATTTATGTTCGAGATAGGCCTAATAATTTAGATCGAGTATTTCAGACTACACAGACATCGGGGGCGTAGCTCAGATGGTAGAGCGCTCGCTTAGCATGCGAGAGGTACCGGGATCGATACCCGGCGCCTCCAATCTCTTTTGGTCCTGTTTTTTTTTCATTAATATTAAATTTTGCTCATTTTATGCTATAATTATCTGACAAATTACTCGCAGAAATACCAAAACTATATCAACTTCAAAATAAAAATTAGGGATATAAAAATTACGTTTTAAAATTCAAAAGGTAACATAAAATGTTATATAACTTTATTAAATTAGAAACAACCTTAAATTACAATTATTAATTGCTATACTAATTACATTACTGACTTAATCCAACAATGCAAAATTATCAATTTTACAAAGACTCCAAAATAGGCCTACATTTGAGAGAATGCTGTGCCATAAAGATGGAGTTTTAGTAAAAAAAACGGCTTTATTCGTGTTTGAACGGGTAGATGGCGCTGAGATAGACTTATACCCGTACACGAAATTCTAATCTCGTTTCATTGACAACGGTTAATCATCAACCAATCAGACTACGAGATTTTAAATCAACGGAAGATCAGATACTTCGAGCCATGGTCCTTATTAAATTCTATCCGTCCTTTTAAGTTTTCTACATCTTATACATAATCGCTCGTTCCATCTCACTCTAACAATAGCCATTCAGAAGTGGTGCGACAGAGAGCGATAGCAAACTATAAATACACAGCTATTATCCAAAAAATATATTATATAACTTACTCTCTCATCTATTATCACAGTCCATAGCTTCAACAATGTGATAATTGAAATTCAACAACTTTTTTTAAACTTAAGGCGAAATTTTAAGCCAATGAAAAAGGGGTGTCAATAGGGCCTAAAGTGACGTTTTTGTGATAGATGGCGCTAATGAAGCATAGGGTTCTTTATCCAATCATTGTAGCCGACAAATTTGACACAAGAAAAAATCTAAAGCTACAATTGCCCTATCTGGTGACCACAATAACGGCAACCCTCATAATATAATGAAAAAATATAAAACACGTTTTTTTTACATAAAAAAATGCTTAGGTACTTGCTGTGCACTACTTCTATTTCAGGAAAGACTGAAAATATACGTGTATGATATTTTTAACTTATCAAAGACACACAAGAAACGTCCGCTCCCCTATTATAGATACACGCAAAATTAAATAAAAAAGTTCACAGAGTGACTATAAACAAAATCCAATAATAAGCTTATGAGAAATTTCTACAATAGCAACACATTTCACATACATAATATTAATATTAGGCGTTTCTTTCATTTATATTTTACATAAATGTTTATAGCTATAAACGTGCACAAATATAGTAATAAAAGAAGACATATACCATTATAATAAGTACTACATAAGTACAATTATTAAATTATATTATTGGCGTTTGCGTTGAGCATTTTACTTATTAATATTTTTAATGAATTAAAAGTTCTAACTCAACGGAAAATACATAAAATGCTGACTGTTTTGTTTATATACACGTAATTAGGAATATAGAACAAATAAATTCTTTTAGATATTCAAGAATTGTATACACAATAATGAAAACCTTTGCAACATTTTTCTTGGCATAGAAAAATATCAATAACTATAAAATTATATAAGGTGCTATAAAAATAAGTACTTCGGTTTTAATGGAAGGTAGTATTGTTTGTAGATTGCAATAGTGAAGAAATTTAGTACCCAAAAACCACTTAAATTAACATTGGCACTCTTCTGCATAAGGTGGTACTCAAATTACGCATTTGTATGTCATTCTATTGAGAACAACTGTTCCAAATTCAAAAGCAACAGCCTGGATGTCTTTCTACTAATTAATCAAGTCAAATTTTATTGAAATTAATATAAAAGCAACAACAATTATTTACCTTCACTAAAAAAATATATAAATGCAATACTATCTCCCATTGCAACCATTGGATATTTTTATAACACCTTAAAGTATAGGGACAATGGAAAATTTTCTGAGATATTTTAAAATGCAGTTACCTACTAGCTTCATAAAATGCTATTAAAATGCAATTGGGTCTATTATAATAAAATAGTATGTTGTAATTAGATATATTATAACGTATAAATTACGGCTGATCACGCTAGTGTTTTTTTTTTTCAATATTTGTATAGTCTTTTTATGCAGTTTATAGGTATATTTTCGTCTCTTAATCTTTTTATACAGTATATTTTGGCCTGGCCGGCGACCAACTTCGGTTTTCCCAAATACCCGACTTGTCTTTTAGAAAATTGGGCCCTTCGTGGCACATACCTTTCTTTCCTTATACATATTATTATATTTTTAAAACATTTAGATACCATCGATATGTTAAAGTGAAAATATAAAAGATTGTTTACGGTACTACATACATATTCATTTTCTTTAGTACTCGACTAAATTTCAATATAAATAACGTCCAAAAATAATCCACTTAAACAAAAATTTTGTTAAAAAAATAAGTACTGTACTTCCATCGTATAGGTTTGACCCGCAACATACTTTAGTCGAATACTGATTAGTTGGTTTCATATCTATTAATTTAGAAAAATAATCGACTAAAATTACATTGCACATAATGTAATAATCGCTTGAAATCGACTAGTGATTAGCACTATGATGCTTAAAACAATTTAAATCGAGATAATATATTTTCAAAATTATTTCAATGACATTCTAATTACCAGTTGTTATATTTCACCTAGCGATTTGACAATGTTATAATTAATGGCACATTTTCTTTTCATTATTTCCAATATTTATGTAAAAAAAAGAAATTAAATTTTTCCATACACTAACAACATCAAAATTCAAAAATGAACTGAAACACCGTAACTCTATTTAATATGAATGGAGATTAATTACATAATATAATCGACTAAAACACTTATAAATTGAAATTAAATTATTTGAGAACAAAAAATAGATGAGATTTATATTGTTTAACATAATCATTGTATATGAAATATAAAATAAATATTTAGCTACAATTTGCATACTTACTTATTTTAATAGTGTGGATGTATTTAAAAATGCAAAAAAATAAAAATGTGGTATTCAACCTATTTACACATAAAACTACGATGAAGATGTTCTATTTTTAAACTTCAACAAAAATAGTTTTGACAGTTTAATTAAATATATTGCTAAATAATTTTTATCTATATAAGGTTCTATTTAAGTAGAAGGAAAAGTAATCTAAAATTATATTGAACTTTTGCAAGTAATAATGATTATAACACAAGTAGGTATAACTTCTTTCTCCAAACACTATTGCAGATTCCGATCAATTATTGAGAATTTAAACAGTAAAACTATACTTAACCCACGCATTAGTTTAGGGCTGGCACTTGCAACCAATTGAGCAATAGAACATCTAAAGCAACTTCGACAAAGACTAAACCAGGAAATGTGATGAAATATTATATATATATATATCTATCTTAACTTTTTCCTTCAACTGTCGGTCAACGAACTCTGAATCTGAAGGTCAGTCAATCTATTGCGGATTCAAGCTATTCACCACCTTGTTGCACAAAAAACAAAGTTCATTATAATAAATAAATGCGAGTTGGGTGCATCATATTTTATGTATTGCAAAGCGTTTGTTTGTATTTGAGATCGGTTTCTCAATATTTGTTCATAACATATTGCGTTTCAGATAACGTGAATGTGAAGGTCACACTGAATCACGTTACTATAATTATAGAATACAGTGCTTAATGAGAACTGCAAAATGCCTTTTGGAATATTCACCTCCTTACAATTAGACCAGCGGTAATTAGGTATAAGTGGTTACAAAACAAAACATACCATTTTGTTCTTTACATAAAAATAGTGTTCAACGCAAATTTTGCACTGGACTAATAAAATACGGTACAATCAACTATAGCTCTTATGTAACCTATATAAGAGCTATTAAATAAAAAAATAATGAATACATAAAAAGATAGTCAGGTTATCAAACAACGGTATCTCTTACGTAATAACAAAGCGAAATATCAACTAAAATAATACTAAAAGTATTTTAAAACTATGATTTTTATTTTAACTTGACAACCGAACTATCTTTTTATGTCATAAATCTTCAATTCAGATTATGGCGGATAAATGCACAACGCATATTTATACAATTATAATTATATTTTAAACAGGAATTATAATATTGACTTACTGCCACTGCTACTCCAATTAATTAGTGTGTCGGAGGTGGCGCCATCTTCAATATCTAATAGTAAGTTATCTCTATCATTATCTGTGCTATCTTTCGGAGAGAAGACAATGTCCTCATCATTTGTCTGTAGGTTGACGTAAGACAGTGATTTCTTCTTTTGTTCAAGGTCGAAAATCTCCAGATCCTCATCCTCGTCTTCATCAGATTCCATGGTCAGGGGAACCCTGGATAATTCCAAGTTATCCCTTCTATCTTCTGACTGGAGTACCCCGTATCGGAACTGGTTCGCATCATTTGTGCTATGAGCGTTTCCTGTATCGTTATTCTTGCTCTTTTTCCTGTAATTTTATACAATTTCTGATTATTTTAACTGTAGCTAATTGAAGCTTGTATATATTAGGTCAATATGATACGTTTACGTAATATGGTCAGCTTTGAATTTGCGGTTGACCACGTGTGCTCCTAGACCGAACATTTGGATTGTATTTACATTGTGACAGACTAGAGTAATAGAGCGTCAATAATCTAATTTCATTACAAGTTTTATGGTACTTTTTAAAAAAGAAAGACATTATTTCTTTTTGCATTGGATATTCGGAAATATCGCGCACAGCGCGAAACGGCGCTATGGTTATTTCGCGCCGGTTTTTTGTGAGGTCGTGGTAGCACTCCATTCAAGCTGGCTCATTCCTGCCAAAGCATGACTCTTACACACTTAGGTAAATAAAAAAGGTCTACAAAAAGCCAATAGTGGTTTATTAGTAACTAAGTTTTCCCTAACACTGAGTCACCGATCACAAACAGGAATGATATCTATATGCTACAAGCCTACGAACTTACAAGTAACTGATGATAAATAAATGTATTAAATCAATATTCAATCTCTTTAGATAACTTTACACTATAATTGCATCTATTGACCTAACAGATAAGTGGATCAAAGCAAATTCTTGTTTTAAAATATATTGCATAGTATTAAGTATTGAGTAAGTTATTGTAATATCGTTCCGTATCTAATAGTAGAAAATTCTCATAAGATGAGAAATTGAATTATTAAATATATTACTTAGATAGAATATTATTGCATCATATAATTCTTAAGTACTCAAATGACATCATTTACTATGTTATTTATTGCTATTTCATGAATGTTTGCGATAATAATAAGTTCGAAGTTTTCTTTTATAAAATGTGATAAATGACTTGCAAACAGGTTGGTTTGGGCGGGAGGGTTCCCGCCCAAACCCGGTTACTCTCACAAAAAAATATGGACTTTTTTATCGCCATTACTTACTTACCTCGTATGCGTAGACGAGATGACGTTAGTTAAAATATATATAATTAATTTATGTATATGATAACTTAGTCTTAATTTTAGTGGACGAAAAGCTAATAACTACTTAATGCACAATTCTTTCAAGACTTTGTTCAGGTACTTAACCGATAACGAAATATAATCAATCAATATTATCTTTAGACATGGTGACATACATTTTTAATCAGTACTTAAATACTATTTTAAAATACCTTGTTTGTGGTTTTCATACACTGGTAAGATCCCTGATCTGATAGAAAGGGACAGAGCTATTAGTCAAACTTCGAAGAGTTTGACTGTTAGAAAGTACTTATATTATACATTTATATATGCACTTGTACCAGTACGTGCCAGTACGTGGACCAAAATTTGAAACTAAATTTAATTTTATATTCAATAACAAATAGCTTCCCGTTTGTGGCTTCGGCCAAGCGGATTTAAATTTCAAATAACTTAATGTTGGTATAAAATCTACGACTTCATTATTATGTTTAACAGTTTATTTACGTGACTGTGTTCGACCGGATACAGTAAAGCAAACATCGCGGATTGCTGCTTATGAATATGAAGCCCTACACATAGCTTGAAAATAGTCGAGTTCGCCGTCAAACTGTAAACTGTTCACATAGTAGGTAATAAACTTTAACCCCTAATTACAAAACGATTTTCGAAATTAAGATTTTTTGTTTATTTCTCAAATCAAAATATAGTAGCAAAAAAAATATAGTTTTTACCTGTAGAATATGAAATAAGCGACTGCCAGCAGCGCAAATCCTCCAAACACGATGAATCCTCTCTTCAATACTCCAGGATTGTTGAGATCAATCTTTATTGGTTTGTCTGTACTTGTTGCATTTAATTTTGTCTCATTGACCACTGGAGCCGGAGCTGGGTTGACAATTGTTGCATTGCCTGTAATTATTTAAAGATATGAATTATAACTATGTCTTGACTAACTTATTTAATATTGGTCTTGAAATATTTGTGATAGGCCAGGGAAGGTTAAAATGGTGAAAAATAAATTGGGGGAAAAACTATGTGTAAAATATTAATATTGATAAATTTATCATGTTTAAACAGCTAAAACTGTTATTATAAAAATGTTTTGTAATTACAGTTTGGAGTTAAACAGGTTTTTTTTTATAATTTATCATTTACAATCTCCACTGACTCGGGGTCCATGCCCTTGTCAAACATTATCCAGTAAAGATTACTTAGTAGTAAATAAAATTGTTACCAAATTATTGAGTTGTACACAAACACTATTAAACTAGACACAGACTAGAACTTTACTTAGTTCTACAAAAAGTCAGTTACCAGTTGTCACAAAAGCAACTATTTAATTATTTACTCAAACTAAACACTATATTCAACACATTATTATAGTAATGTAACAAATATACAGTAGATTAATGCTTTATTGGTATAACATGCAATGACCAGGTCAATAAAAATGTTTTAGCAGACACAATTTATGTAAATTTATTGGTCTTGTTTTTTTTTGGGGGGGGGGATAAGATCATCAAATACTTCTCTCCTCTCTAACAGGCTTGAGAAGTCAATTCATTTAATGGGTGGATTTGACATAACACTGCCTGGCTAGTAGATGCTTGCTGGCTGTGAAAACCATCTCATTCGTTCTCCAGTCTTGGGCCAGAGATGCACCCTAGCTGTACCTTCATTAGCCCAAATGGACCCCATTACGCATTAAATTGGAGAAACACAATGGAGATTTATTATTTCTGTTTAGGCCTCTGCCAACCTCATAGGAGATTATGTATGCCCAGTTTGAGTAATCACAAAATCACAACAATGATAATTTATATCAGTTATTAATAACTATTTTCTGATATCCATCACTGGATTTCCCAATAATTTTGTTTACATTAATAAGAGCTATTTTTTTACATTAATGTTAAAATTATATATTGCAGTTAATATATACACATGGGAAACTCCACTACATCAGTTATATACATTTGTAGCAGTAATGGGAATACTATTATACATACAAACATATATTACTTAAACACATACTGTCAAGCTTGGAGCAAATTGGAGTTAATTGAGACAATTTGGTGACATTTATCAGTCAATCTCAGGTTTTCTTTTATTAATGGGCTTTGTCTCTTGAAGACCTCTTAACCTTACAGTATAAATTAATGAAATATTAATAATCTAATTACCATTCTCTTTTAAAATTCTTGTTGGTATAAATCAATAAGTTGTAAGAAACAGTTAACAAAATAAAATCTCACAATACCTACTTCAATGAATAAAAGATACACCATCAACTATACAGCAAAAATAAATAATAGAATAGATAAATAACTAAGTAAGTATATATTTTTCAGGATACTCATAAACATAGAAATATTAAATAGACTTTAATATAAAGATATTACTCAATATAAGTATGAACATAGGTCAAGATTACACAATTTGTGCGACCATTACTTAATTGCACAACACTTTTTTATAACATAAGAAAATTAAAAAATAACATTAAATTACAAAATGAATCTCTTTCATATAAATAAACATTTAATCTAATTGAGAAAATAATAAGTAATACTTAATTAATTCAATATCTCAAAGCTAAGACATCACAAACATGTTATGCAATTAATTTATCATACACCTAATGTGATTTTAGTGAATGTTTAATGAAATAGAACATAAACAGATCAAATTTAGGTATGTTATTTATGGGTCAATATTTATTAAAAATATTCAAAATTATTTTTTAAGACTATGATAAAAAAAGATCTTGATGCCATATCTGTAAACACCAACCAAATTAATGGCTACAACTTGATGCAATACTTAGATAGGGCAGCAAGTCTAACTCCCCAGTTTGAAATAATCTAACAGGAAACTTAAATTATTGATAACAAACAGCAGTTTGTATAGAAAAAGAGGATAAAATTTAATTTTAAGAATAATTGATTTATTTATTCTTACCAGTGGGTGCTGGTGGTGGGTCAGAAGCTACTTTTTCTTTCGTTCCATTTTTTATTTCAGGACCCGAAGGAGGTTTAACATCCCCCGATTGTGCGGTCTTCTCTGCAGTGGCAACGACGTCTTGCCCACCCTCTGTCTGGAGAACAGAACTGACCTCGGCCTCTCTCCTCACTCTCAGTAACTTCGCAGCATTGTGTACAGAAGGCCACAGTGAAAACCTTCTATTGAACTCTGCAACACGAGCTCTTGTTGCCCCATCACTGGTAATATATTCACTTGTCCTCACACAGTTCAAACACAATAACAAGAGACCACAACGTATGAGCATATTGAATTCTTTCAGAATTTCTCTACGATAAACTAATACCACTGTTTTACTAAATGAGATGATTCACTCCCTCATAATTTTATTTTAAACTTGTGGATAGTTTCCGACAAATTCGCAACGCATCAGGTTGATTGACGATTTGACATTGACGTTACATTTCACAAACTGTCAATTATGTTGTAGACGTCAATGTCAACACAACCATCAAGTTGTTTCTTTTTTTTGGAATTTATACCCTGGATACAAGTCTTTTAAGCCGTCCATCAAGTTGCCGTACTATATATTGTTACCACTTTTAAATTAATATTTGGTTAATGAATTTGTATATTGCTCAATTCGAACCAGTAGTTCCGGAAATAAGCGCGTTTAAACAAACAAACAAACTCTTAATATATTATAATTATATAGATAAATAAGAAGTTTGTTTTTAATTTTGTAAAGCTATGTTTGTGCTGGAAAAATCTTTACTGCCTACCCTTAAATGAAAAGTTAATAGATGGTTTACTTAAACAACATTCGATTTTCAAAAACGGCACACTTATGCACACATGAATAAATCGTATGATACATATATAAGTGGGATGGCATGATTCAACAATCGCGAGTGAAAAAGAGACAATTATTAAAAAGTGTAGCTAGTTAGCAACATTTTAATGTAAATGTATCACTTGCTGAGCGCTTGTAACTATCTACACGTTTTTACTTATAGGTTTAATTCGACAAGTATGTAGATATTTAGGCGAATAAGTAAGAGTCGCGGTGTGACTTGAAACTAGTACTTAGAGCTTTTCTCAGTTCGGGGTTGCGGGATAAGCGCAATGAGGCACCGCGACCTCGGCCCAGAGCAGGTGAAGGAATAGGGAGGTTTTTAGTCAGTAAGAGTCTGACACTCCCTCCCGCCCGACCATGGGCGGGAAAAGTCATTGGATGATTTTCCCCTGACAAAAAAAGAGCTTTTCTCAGTTGGTTACTGTGAGGAAGTACCTAATTTTTTTAACTAGCTACACCCGCTTCTCAGCTCCTTGCATCATAGCGTGATGTTTTATAAGAAAAAGAATTGTTCTATGCGAACCAGTAGTTCTGGAGATTAGCGCGTTCAAACAAACAAACCCTTAATATACTATTACGTTATTATAATTAGGTATATAAAGATAAATAAGATTTTTTTCATTGTGTAAAGCTATCTTTATGCTGGTAAAATCTTTACAGCCTATCCCTGAATGAAAAGTTACGCATGTCAATTAATTCTTATTCCTTGTCTGTATGAGAAGAGGCTTTGGCTCAGTAGAGTCAGATTTTTCACGCGAATTTCGATTCACAGTAAACAAAAAGATAAAAACTTACCTAAGTTGAAATAAAACGAACAATCACGTATAAGTATTATTTAATTTATTCAAATAGACATTTACATATATTAATTATATATTTTAAAGTAGAATTTCCAAATTTTTGGTATCTATATAACACTGATCGAGTATCCACATAGGTATGATAATAATGTTAAAACCTAGAGTTACAAACATCGGTACATTTGTTCCAAACATCAAGGTACACATTAAATATCACCTACAAAATTGAACAAGTTAGAAATAGTATAGGTTTATCAAAGGACTTACTAACAATAATAATCTATTGTTAATGTTAAAATATCGGCAGTGATGAGACAAGCCAAACACGCTGGTTGGTGTTGCTAACAATACCTAAACATGTCGAGACCCATTAAATCAATAAATTTCTCAAAAATCAATACGATTGAGCCCTTTTTCCTTATTTTCTTTTTAAATCCACTGTTTTTAACTACTAATTATAAACATTAAAATATGTATTTTAAATCAATCAGAAACTAACTACAATCACTCGAAATCTCACGTTGTAAGCACACGGTACTCTCAGACTCTAGAGCAATAAATTACGATTTTATACCTTAAAAGTTAATTTACAAAATTAATAAATATAAATAATTGAGTATGAACTATTTATACAAAATCCATAATATAGAAATGATATCACGTGAAAATCACGATTGACCATTGTATTACACAAATAGACAGATATTGTAAATTAGTCAGCCTATAAAAATAGATTGCACATAAATCATTACGAAAATATTTACTGGGAAAATTTTCAAACGTACTTATTAGCGTAACACTTTTGATGTTGTGAACTTAGCCCCATGTTAAAACTTCGCAAATTGTAATCGATTTTATAAATGACTAATACATAAAAGTTTTTTTTATTCTAACAACATCTAATAATGTTGCTAGTGCGTGTAACTTATTACTAGATCTAGTGTTACCACATTCCTGAACTTGCTAACGTCAGCGCTATAAATGTGCTTGATACAAATTGATAAAAAATTTACATTTTTATGGCCCCTTTGCAATAAAAATGTCTCCTAAACTCAAATACCCAAATGATCCGTAAAAGCGGCGCTCTGCAGCTCAAGCGGCAGGTCTCTACTCCATCTCTAAGTTAAGTACGTTTAATCAGATATATAATTTTCGACACGTCAACTACCCTCTTACGATACCACATAATATTAAACTTTTATAGTAATCCTACTTGTTTACCTCAAATTTATGTTGGCTAATAAATCTTCTGAAACGTTAATATAATAATTAATTTATATTAATTAATTTTATATCTTATATAATTTAGATACGGATTTAAATAGACACACAAAATGGCTCCCATTTTGTGCTGAAATGTTAAATTCATCGACAACATGATTGAAGTTAGTTATTAATTTTAAACAATGAAACAACAACAAAGAATTCTTGACGCAGAAAAGACAGAGTTTGTTTGAGATTCAAACAGTTCCAGAAATGTAAAATATTGTCCAATTTTTAATGAAGCCTTAACCCTAAAACCATGGCACACAAATTATTTCTAACAAAGGAGGGAACTTTTCACAACTGGGATTTTTCAATTTTATTATCGTGTTTTCGATTTAAACGCTCTCATTACAACTTGAAATAAAGATAGCAAGTAAGTATAGAATTTCGAAATCTGAGCAAATCGGTTTACGTATCTTTTAAAGAAAATGAGCTGAAAATATGTATGCTTGGTCGCTTTAAAGTCTCCACAGTCAGTCTTTCAAGAAACCTAATTTTTATTGAAACTGTAAAAATAGAATGGAATGTGAAAGATAAAAATAGTATGAAAGAACCGCAAATAATAACCAACATATCGATGATCCATAGGGTAGGAAGGTCCAGGTGATTATATCGTGTCAACTATAATACTTTCCGGGAGAGCAATTACTTATTCTCTTCTACATTGTAAAATGCAATGTTTACCATCCTAAATTCGTCACACCTATACTAACACTTGAAATAGCAAGATGATTTTGAAAACTAGCAATAATTTTATCCGTTCTACCTACAAAAAATTGCTGTCCCGGATAAGGACGAATCCGTAATTTTCATCCCAAGTTGCATTAGGATGTTGCTGATTGGACTTAGGTCTCCAATTTAATTATTTCCAATCGCTCACTCCAGGCGCGCTTTGTAGCTGGTCTTCCAAATTTCGGCAAGGGTGACAGCTGAGTGGAAGCGGTGGAAAATGCAAAGTGGCAGAGTGAAGCGCTGGACGAGAGACCAAGCCACGAAGCCGTAGAAATCAAGTTGTACCTGAAAACAAATTGTTAAGTAGTTAGTAATGGGAACTTTAAACACTGCTTTAATTAGAGTTAGTTGATATTTACCGGGTTAGCGAGGACTTTTTGGGCTTCAAAGGTGTAAATGAGCCACATGGTGACGTTGCAGATAAGGAGGAAAGTGACAGCCTGACGGGCGGGCTTGCTACGTTCTTGTTCAGGCAGGTGAACACGGCGACGAGAAACATCAGCGATAAACAGCAGTTGCAACACCACCTAATTAATTGATAAGAAACAAAAATTAGCATTATTTTCACACCATTGGTCAGTAATATGAAGAGAGTAAATCTGCACGAAAAATGTATGATTTACCTGGAGCACGCTCAAACAGCCAGTGATCATGACGAGAAGGTTTGGTTCATGAGTGAAGGCTCCCATTCCACCAGCGATGACGCTGAACACGGCGTACACGAAGAGACCAAACGCAGAAACACGGAGCAGAATGTCGTTCAAGTCGGACTGTTCTTCTGAGCGGAACTTCAAAGATTGCACCCTGCGGAGAGGCTCGGTATAGGAGGGAGGAGTATTGCTCCATTTCATTACACGACCACTAATTAATATAGTTAGGAAGACGAGAACCAAAAATGGTAAATAAAATGAAAACATGAAAAAAGGATTTGTGATAAAAATAGAAAAATGCATTGGAGGGAATTTAAACACAAAGTTTTGAATTGTGAAAATGTGTTTGATGTGCAAAAATAAACAAAAATCAAATTGGAGCCAGTCACGGTATATAGGAAATGCACAAACAGGAAAAGGACAAGGGAGTGAATGGAAAAGGAAAAAAACAAAAAAAAAATATAATTAACACAAAAACTAAAATCTAAAAACAATGTATAAAAACTAAGGTTAATGGTGTCTAAAGAGGTGCACTTTTATCTTATTACTTACCGTATAAATCCAATTAGAATCGCCAGTATAGAGAGAACCATCAGTGCACAGTGAGACACATCGGCCAAATAGATCGAGAGGCGCTTCAACTCCTGGTGTCTTATCAGGACAAAGAAGAGTATCAAGCAGATGAGGGAGGCGACGAGCAGTAGTAGTCCACAGAAGAGACCCTTAGAGGCTCCGGCACAATCGACACGGTTTCCACGCTGAGCCGCTGCAAGCGCTGCCGCCCTGCGGGAGAGAACAGCCTCCAGACGTCTTTCCAGATCTTCATCGTTGGCCACGCTGTAACCAAACGCGTGCAAAGTCACGGACGCGTTGATAGTTTTATTCTTTGTCTAGTCTAATCGTGCTCTAGTGTTCGCAATGGCCATGAGGAGCGTGACTCTAATGTTATGGGGAACTATTTTTTATTAAAGTGGTTACAGAAGGTTAGGTTGTTAATTAAACTTATTGCAATAAATGGTATCTAAAGTGAAATCAATGTTATTCTACTATTGGGGCCAAGTCGTGGATTATGGAATTAGCATATTACAAAATGTTTATAATATTTACCTGGGATAACGGCCAATATGCTTCCACATAACGTAAATGACGGCGGCACCGATGAGGGAGTATTCAATGATGAATGGATACAGATAAGGTGCCGAGTCGGTTACGATAGTGCCCATAATTGGGTTTCGGCCGCACACGGTTGTATTATCGATATTGGCGATCAGCGCAGCTGGATTGAGACCGTCGAATGACTCGAAGATTTCTGACGTGTTGGTCACTGAAATAAAAACATTCACTATCTTATATTCTGGTCATTATAGTAACATTTTATTAATTAAAAAACTAATCTACACATTAAAACTACAACCATCATTTGCTATTCAGATTTATTTGTAAGAATTTACTGAATTGAACTAAACAAAATACAGCTGAATGTAATTGACCAATTCTCAATTGATCTCGACATAAAAAATCTTAAAATAGCAAATGATACGCATTGCTTATAATATTTACATGCAAAAGATGAAAAATAAATAATCTCCTAATAAAAAAGAATGTGGGAACTCAGGTGCAACGGACGCGTACGCGGGGTACGTATACGTAACGAACACAAATAATATGATAAACCGCAAATAAAAAGTGCAACGGCGTTTATACTTTGAAATAATTCAATGCGACACTCCAACGACCAACCTGGCGAATGTGGCGGTTCATCTACCCGATAAGTTTCGACACTATTGCCCCACTCGTCTCTATCAGTTACTATCGGTGCGGAAGTCGTACTTGGCATCATAGTCGATATAGCATTAAGAATCGGTTTCAGAGTTGAAGTGCGAAGCCACTGGAAGACTTCTAGCATGGCCGTCTGTGTCTGAGTCACTTTATCGGACTCCGTTGTAAGTGGTGCAAAAGATGTCGTAGTGAACGGATTGTCATTAGGCCATTCTCTGAATTCGCGACCATAGCCCATCCCGTTGTCATAACCTACCGTACTCTTAAGAGTTTCGATCAGTTTTGACTTAGGTAACCCACCACCCATGACATTATATGATGAGAGGGTAGTAGCTGAAAAATTAGTCCAAAACACATTTTAATTGACATACATGCACATGTTAGCTGAACATGGGTGATGAAAATTAAATTGATAAATGTGGATACTAACTTGTGGTAGGTGTGGTGGTAGGAGCAGCTGTGGAGGTGACAACGTTCAGGAGTTGCTCTCCAGTGGTCTTAGCGGTGGTTAAAACAGTAGATGCGATAGAGGTTGCGGCTGTGGTAGCTGCACCAAACACTTTACCGGAATGCCTCAGAGTGTGCTTACGGATGACTTCTGGAGATGTACGAGTCATTAGTTACTAATACATACAAATACAATACAATGAACGAAAACAAGCAAGTTAGTTGCCAAGACTACAAGGCTAAGTTTTTTCCACAATAGCAAACATACTTCCTCGCAAGATTGAACTTACTTCCCAACACGCCTTCTCCTGAGTAACCGTGAGGATTTTTAACGTGGTAATCGGTGATTTCCTTCAAAGATTCAAGCACCAATGTTCGAATCCATACGCAAATGTTTGTGGCAACTACGTGCATCAGACCGAATCGAGCGATTACCTTGAATCGATGTATGTTGAGCTAAAAAATTAAATAGAGTATAAGAAACTGTTAAACTTGCATTACTTGCTACTTTAAGTAAAAAAAAAAAATTACCCTAGAATTCATGAAAATGAAATACATTTGCATGAACGTAAACACCATTTGCAAGACGGGATTGACGCCTTTTAGGATCAAGTAGCAGGGTGACTCTAGAGGCAATTCGAAGAAAGTGCCAAACTCCAGCCCGTTGTAGATCATAGTGCCGAGACCGAATGCTAAAAATAATAACAAAATAACATAATAAGTCTCAAAATAATAATCTCATTTGTAATGTAATATTTTTATAAATCAATGAAATAAGACATTTCAAAGAAAATGTTTGAAAGTGTGTTCATACCAATTGCTCCAATCCTAAGGAAGAAGCTGCCGTGACTGTGATCGTTTTGAGAAGTCTTGCGTCTGCGTACTGGTCTGGCAACAGGCCCTGCTTCCAGCTCCACAATATCTTGTTGTTGCTGCTGTTGTTGCTGTAATGTACAGTCAAAGAATTGTTAACAAATCATAAATAGATCCAGTACAAAGGACAAATCTGATGCTGGGAAATTCTTAAACTTTCGTACGTTTGTGTTACAAGTTATTATTATTTTGAGATTGACATCTTTTTGTCTGAAAACAAAGTGGCAATCGCATCTAGCATAGAAACAATTAGTAAAACTAAATGAAAATTTGAATCAGTTGTTATTCTCAAATCAGGAAATGTCGATGCATTCTACCATTAAGTACATCTTTAGATAAAGTCTCATGACTGTCAATGTGAATACGAAGCCTACATGAAAGCAAGGTGTTCCAGTAGCGAAAACAGAAGCAGTATGAAAAGACGAACTACGACAGCACATCCAAAGCACTCCGTATGATATGATACACTCAAGCAGGATGCGTCAAGATACCTCACCTGGTCAGACGCATACAATTGCGCCATTTGCAATTGCAATTGCTGTTGACGAACTTTATCACGCATCTTACGGGGATACACCTCCTGCCCAAATGATATGGAAAAAACAAAAAAGTAGGCAGCGTAAACAAAAAGGGGTTCATGCGGCCTGATGACGGACGAAGCGTTGACCATGATAATTTGTGAACGGCCAAATAATAAAATTGCGAATAAGTGCGTATCACAAAAAGTTAAATCAAATTAAACAAATCGCATAATTCAAATTAATAAAATAAACATATGTATGTGGTTAACTAACACAGGACGACACGCGAAAGCGACAAGAGAATGTGTAATAATGTTAAATACAAAAATAATGGATGTGCTGTGTATGATGATGTGATGGAATCTACCACTCACCTGGAATTGGCTTTGTTTCTTAGCGTCTTTGGACGCCTTATCTTTTTCCTCCTTATCTTTGCCTTTGTCTTTAGACTTGTTATCTTTCTTTCCATCCTTTTTATCCTTGCCTTCTTTTCCATCTTTTCCTTCCTTGCCTTCTTTCGCTTCTTTGTCTTTGGTTTTCTTTTCTTTTTCCTTCTTAGGTTTCTTCTCTTTTGGCGGGGGCTTCGGTTTAGGAGGGCTTCCACTGCAGCATGCGCTCTCTGTTTTAGGTAAGTACATTATTTTATATATAGCACGCATAAAAAAGTTTTGTATGAATACGAAAAATTTAAGAGAAAATTACTAACCTTGGAGTAAGAAGCAGAAAACGTACAACAAAAACAAAATGCTCATGCCATACAGATAGGTGAAGAACCCCTCGTAGTAATACAGAGGGAGGTTGTGTGTGATGACATCACTGATGACGTAAGCGATACACACAACAACCAGAAGCTTGGCGTAGATAAAACTCGAGATGATAAACAGCGAAGTTCTGTGGAAGAAATAAAAAAAGTTCGTTAAGAATCGGCAAAGTTTCAAACTACGCAATAAATATAATTTTGTTCACAACTTTGAAAGTGGTATTGTAGTAGGAATATAAATAGTCAAATTCATTCTGTAATTCTGTTACCATTGTGCCTTTATTTAGAACATTTTGTATAAAAATATTTTTTAATGTATGTTAAGGTATATTCTATGTCATTTATGTTTATTTAGTAACACATAGCAAGTCAATATGGGTACCCAAAAATAAACTCTGAACACAAAGACATGATTTTATACTAACAACAGTTTACTGCGTGGTAATAAGTAGACAAATTTGTTTTTTTTTTGTTTCTATTTAAACAGAACTATTTAACAAAAACCTATTTATGTCAACAAATTTTCTACTCATATATTAAAAAAATATATTAATGATGAAACATACAAAAAAATTAGGAAAACAATAACAATTTATTTTTATTATTTGGATCAATAGAGGTTTTACTATCTACATGGCTACAGACACATACTTCTTAGATGGCTTGGGCTGAACACACTTCAGTTCCATTTCTTTGTTCGCGTTGTTGTGCTTCTCAGCAATCGCCATGTCACTGCCCTGCTGCCGGTGCTGGCCCACCGGTAACGTAGCCATGTTGTCCACAGACTCCAGCTCCACCGTAGCCACCTTCACTTCAGCCTCAGTGGGCTGGTGCTTATCTTTCCCCATCACTTATTTCAACACTTAGGACTTCGATAGGACTTACAGGGACTCCATAATGGAGTACTCAGGGTTAAGGACAGGTAAAGGACCGAGGAACGCGTTAAAAGACCTCCGGAAGTATTGAGGTGCGGCGCCGAACCGTGCCTCGAGCTCGAGTGTCCCGAGAGTTGCGCAGTACTGGATGCTGCGCGCCGGTCGTCCTCCCAAAACAGGGGCGTCACCGACCCTCCGAGCACACCCCATTTTGTATAAATTGCACTCTTTAACAGCGAGAGGGTCTTTGTACCGCTTATAGAAAGATTGTCGAGATTGTTATCTCGTATGGAATACTGGTTTATTTTTGTGATGGCCAAATTTTAAGTGGCATATTTTAGAAGACTATTTTATTAAAGAAAAAAATTGCACACAGTACAAAAATCTTAGTTAACGGAAAAAGTATCACAAAAAGTGGTGTTGCGTTGAATTTTTTATTATTGAATTTTAAGTCATTTTATTCGTACATTAAACATTATTAAACATTAAACATTTTATTCCATTCAAATTAAGCATTCTATTCTTCATATTAAGTATCAAAAATTAGGACAATTGAACTTTAGTTGTTTAAATTCCGAAATAACAGTTTTTTTAATAAACCAAATTGCCTAAAAATTATTTTAGGCAGCCCTACGGTGGCGGCACGCGGTCGATAGAGGCGCGTCTCTCCCGGAAAGCTCTGGGAGGCTGCGCGAGCGACCCACTGACCCGGCCATACCCCACCCCACCAACACACCCCACGAATAGTATTCCGAACCCCAATACTGCACATGCAAGTGTAATATCCACATTAATTCCCACCTAGAGCTCCATAAACAAAGGAACGAACCGTAGGGAGAACAAAGGGGAACCAATCTTTATTACGCGGTTTGTGTTTGTTTTGTTAGCTAACCTTGAGAACTGCTGAGCTGATTTTGATTGAACTTTTAGGATGGTATATATTATTGTTAATTCCTATGAGTATCATGTATATTATAAAGACAATGTTTTTCAAACAAACTTTTATAATGTTTAAGATATATACTTAAAGAAATATTAAAAAAATGTTACTATAAAATAAATTGTGTGTTTAAATGACATTACAAATAGCCGGATGAAAGCAGAATGCCGCGCATGCGCGATCCGATGCTCCGAAGCTTACGAGTTCATTGAACCAATTCAAGTAGTGCCAAGTTTACTATTTGTTATTTTTACGATATTGTTAGGTATCTGTGTGCAGTGGAGCTATTTTTAAACCATGCTGTGTAACATGGTGAATAAGATTTTTATGAGCATAATAATTGTTACCTACTTACACATATTTATAGATTAGAATTGGTTCAGTAAAAATCGGTGCATTATAATATGCGTATGTTTGCCTTTGTGTGGCATTAAGTTAAAACTTTTAACTTATAAGTAATTTATTAGTTATCAATATAATGATATTATCATAATTTGACTTTACGATTGACTTGACTATAATTTAGATTTTTTTCAATGTGCTCATAGTTTACATAATGTTGTGCATTTCAATATTAACACATAAAAAATATTCGATACTTATTAAGAAAATTTTCAAAAATCGAATAGACCACCAAACTATAAAAATCTCATAAACCAACCTCTTTAAATTGCCCGAATATTAGAACTCATTGCTTATGGCGATCATTAATGTTAATTAGCCACATAAGCCACTTAAAAGCAAAAACGAATTCAGACGTTCTGAGCCGTAACAGCTCGGTAATTGCTAAACCACGACGGTTATACTGAGCTCTGATTTTAGTTAAGATACTATAATTAGCTGTGACCCAAAGACTAACTGCTAAAATCGTCACATGCTATGCTAACGCTGGAAATGTGATGCAATGGTCACTTGGTCAGTTTTAGCGCTATTTTAACCTAGTTCTCGGCCTACGTTATGACTGTGCTAGCTTGATTTACATTTGATTTAAGTGCTTGACATTTACTCTAGCGAAGACTTTCGCATCTATTTGTATTTCTTTAATATAGTTTGCAAATAAAGAAATAAAGGTTTTCTATTAAAACGCTTATTGACTTAACAGTTGAATTTGCCACTAATGCCATCTGATAATAGGTCGAAATAGATCAAAATCGTTTATTAAATATTTAAGAAGCGTTATTATACTTTTTTATGCAGTAAGTGGCAAAGTTTACGTTGTGTTTCGCCGTTTGAGTGAGGTTACCCGAGGCCCAATTCTTCCTCACCCCTCCTATCCTATATCCTTAAAGCCCCAATAACCCTCAAGAAGTCGGCAACGCACTTGCAGTAACTTCCTGGTAGGTACTACGAGTGGGCACTCGTAGTACCTACCAGGAAGTTAATAAGCGGCGCTGATTGCTTACTATCAGGTAATCTGTCTGCCCGTTAAGTGATCAGTGCCGTTCATGGATATTCGCTGCACCAGAGAAGTCATAGATGCGTTACCGGCCTTTCAAGAAGAATCACGATTGATCCTCGATCGTTTGAAAGTTGGTTTCGGAAATACCACTGCCGAAACGTCATTCCCCTTAGGTATTATTATAAAAAAATCTAGCCTGTGCTAATAGTATCTAAGTATAGCATTTACGGATAGAAGCACCATTTTATCCCGGTCATTGAACTTTAAACTTGAATTGCATTTTATTACACGCTGCTGTTTTAAATGACAATGCTTCTATAGACTTCCCGCTTTTTACTAAGAAGAAAGAGGATTTGCAGAAACTCTTTTGAATCGAGTCTTTATTGAACGGATCTGTGACCCATTTTATAAACCGGTTCTGTAATAATGCTACTTTATTAGAGTTTAACGCGAATTATATACCTACCACCGTTTATCGATGTTTTAAGCTTTTTCTTTGTTGATTTACTGTTGAAAGATAACAGATGTTTCATTTGTTTTTCGATTTATAGTTTTTGGTGTTTAATTCTTTGATTGGCCAATCTTTTTCAAGTATGTTTTATATATTTTTTTAGTTGATGATGTCGTGTATTAGATGATGCGAGTGCCGGATATTATATTATATTAAGAACTATTACTGATATTATATTAAGTTTGTGTTGTAATCTTAGGTATTGAAAACAAACATCTGATGCACCAAAATTGAGTCAGTAGATACAAAAAGAAAGATCAGTTAGTTTTAATGCCTAGTGGTCGCAGTAGCAATTAAATATTAAGACAGAATACTAGAATAAAAATTATAATAATATTGGCAACAAAAAAATGTACAAGCATTTTCAAAGTTTTTGCCTTCGATAACACTTAGATGTTTAAATATAACGGTTGAAGTTTTCGATGCGAAAGTGTATAGGTGCCTATATACCTACATAATATACGAATGTACATGAATTTGCTGCACTTGACTTGTACATAATACTGTGGAATATGACGGCTATAAAATATCAATGGTATCGTAGTATATATTCAATGCTTCAACTTTTATTGGCAATTCCAATTGATTCGCGCAATGATTTAATATGTATTTTATGTACAGTCTGCAATAAAAACAGTTAGTCATGTCTACTGAAGAGTGAAGCAAATATTTGTGATTGTATTTTACAAAGATTATTAAAGGGTTTTGTTTAGTTATTTCATTATTTTTTTAGCTAGATTCATATCATTGAGTTACGTAGCGCGTAGGTACCTACCTATGAAGAAGATAAAAACCATGTTTTAGTTTTTACAATATAGTAGATATAAAATCTTTATTTACGACTACTAAGATTTTCCCTTTTTAAATTTGATGTTTATCATCCAATTGTGTAAATGCGTAAATGTTTTTTTTTTTTTGCTGACCATAAGAGAAAATATTCCAATTGAGGTTGTTATTGAATCTGTTCTTTCTGAATACATAATGGCTGCAGGTCTAGCTCCACATTTAAATGAATAGGTAATAACTAAGCTAACCACCATTGGCTTGCTTTATTACTCACATATAAAATATTGTGGACTTGGCTGGCACAGTACCTGGACAAACGGTTCACGATTGCTGTGCATGACAAATAAAAAGTGCTAAAGAATTATTCTGATCAAAATGATCATTGTTAGCCCACAGTCAGGAAGTTCAGTGGTGACACTCCGGGAGTCGGGGATCGAAGGACGATCTTTGGTCACCGTAAGTGTGGGTCGGCAGTTGGTGAACAAGGGTAGCTCGCCGCCCGATCAGAACCAGACCCGAACGTCCTGAGTGCAGCTAACCGCGCGCGCCTGAAAGAGCCAATAGACCACCACAGAAGGGGCCTAATAACTCGAGCGTACGGCGCGTAGCGTTCCGTGCGTGCCTCATAGAGCCAATAGACCACCACAAACGGGGCCCAATAGGGCTGACGTTCAGTCGGGGTTGCAAGACAAGCGCAATAAGATACAAAGGCCTTAGCCTGAATTAGGATACGGATATAATGGTTTTTTAGTCAGTAAGTGTCTGATACTCTCTTGTCTTACCCTGGGCGAGAGAAATCATTTGTTGATTTTTCCCTGACAACAAATAAGCTTATTTGATTTTAATATGTAGATAGGAATATGCACATTCAAGAAGATATAAAAACAACTAATATATCAGTAAAAAACAAATACGAGTAACAACCGTCTAATTATAATGTGCGGCAAACACTCAATAAAGATGACACAAGACAGAGCAATTAACTGCATTTAAATCTATGACATAATCTTTATTGCTATCGACCTTGTGGTACCTATACAATTACTATTTAAATATATATTGTTTACATTGTTTGACTGCAGCCAAGATGTTTATATTTATGCCTAATAATGTGGAATTTCCCGCAGACTTTAAAGTTGCACACAATGTTTTTATGGAATCGCGGCTGTAAGCGTAATAAGTACCTATGTTCCACGGTTTCCAACTCGGAGCAGGAGAAAGAGAAAGAGTCTGTTGGTTTTCTGATATAAAGTTATTTGAGGCCTACATACTTGAGACTAGCCGAGTCGTTAAAAATCTAAGTATTTTTTTTTAAGTATGAATTTTTATGTTTTGCTCGGTGTATACGCTCACCGTTTGTTCTATGGGTCTCATAAATACCTAACTGATAACTTACAAATATTATACCGGAATGTCAAATCCGTTGTAGTCAACAACAGCATTTGGTAAGCTAAAACGCAAACGGTAATACATACCCTCAACAGTCCCCACAAAAAAAAAACACATTTAGAAAGAACCTTTTTTCCACCGTAATATCAAAACACATTAATGATTCACCGGGATCAATTATTTGTAACCTTTTATCCCACACCGATATCCTGAATCCGCACAATGGACGCCTTTGCCTCTCGCAAACGCCTCACCTTCAACCCAAGATCAAACAAAACTAAACTCTGGTTTTAGTACACAAGGTTGGTTTTCTAGTACCTGTTTATCCTCACACGTGTCCTTATTTAGCTTTAAATGGATAGGTACGGGACCATTTAATCGATTGTCCATCCAAGCGGTATGGAAGTGCTTTGATTACTGCTTCCTCCCTTTTATTTATTTATAAATTGTTCATGGAGGTTTTTGTCCTGTATACCATGTACTTTATTGGTTAAATACAGTGTAATTGAGGCAGGCTATAGTGGTCATTTAGTGTGGCTAATGTTGTAAAGTAGTGTTCGCAAATGCTGTTGCTAGGTAGACTACAGATAGCAGTCCTAAGTCTAACAATACAAGATTTATTGCAAACTTTTATTTGAAGGTTTTTGCTAACATTACAACAATTACGTTTACCATGACGGCATGACTACATGATGGTTTCCAATTTCTATTTATAAGAGTGCTCGTTTATCTCCATGTATTAAATGTTGGTTGGAAAACGCTCTTCTAGCGGTTCCAGAAACCGTTGTTTGAGGTTTCAGCCATTTTAGTTCAAGTAATGACATTGCCTATTGCTGTTTACATCGAAAAACTTGATTCTATCCTGATGTTTATTATGACTGGTTACGATCTTTCCCCTTCTTTTATCCCTCCTAATTTCCAAAAGGCCAGCAACGCACTCGTGACTCTTTTGGTGTTGCGGGTGTACATGGGCGGTGCAGATTGCTTACTACAAGGTCATCCGTCTGCTCGTTTGCCGACCAATCCCATCATAATTGGTAATCTTTGCACTACTTCTTGCTTAAAGATTCTTCTAGAATATTAACGTTAATTATTTCTCGACTTCTACTTTAACTTGATAATTTCCGCAAACATCTTTAGCTTAGACAATGAAGATAAATCTGAGTTTAATTGTGTTTATTATTATTTATTATTTTCCTCTTGGGAGCAATCAATCTTTTGTATCAGCATTATAAATTCTCATTAATAAATTTGAATAAAAAAACATCACTACGTTATTTCATACACATTCTCTTGTTCTGTCATCTACAGCAACGGATTTTGATGTGGGTTTTTTTATAGACAAAGAAATTGAAGAGGAAGGTTTATATGTATTAGGTACATCTAGTATGTTTGGTTGCTAGTTATCTTATTAAATTCAAAACTAGTTCAAGCTTATTACTACCTCACCATTATATTACCTGTCCCTAAAATAGGTTTATTTTCATAAACCAAACACTTCACAGTAAGTACCTATATTATACATAGTACCATTACTCAAAAGTTCTTCAGCATGGCCGCTAAATTAGTTGCACTCAATCAAAATGTAGGCGGATAATATAAAATTCTATTGTTTTCGCCTACCTTGCCGCGATTTATTGCAGGATCGGTATATAAATAATTCATTGACGGATCTAAGACGTAGATTAACTAGGCTGTTTGCGTCTTACATGTGTTCATGGGGTTGCCAGGTAGATAGGTGCGTAGTTATACGTTCATGTCTATATAGACAGTTAGGTATGTGCATAAATGTCTAAGTTTTTTTTTTATGTAATAGGTCGGCAAACGAGCAGACGGATTACCTGAAGGTAAGCAATCAGCGCCGCCCATGGACACTCGCAACGGAGGAGTTACGAGTGCGTTGCCGACCTTTTAGGGATTAGGGATTTGGAGATTTAGGGATTGAGGAGGGATTGGGGAAGGGGAAGGATTGGGCCTCCGGTAACCTCACTCACACGGCGAAACACAACGCAGTGGTTATTTCACGCCGGTTTACTGTGAGGCCGTGGTATCACTCCGGTCGAGCCGACCCATTCGTGCCGAAGCATGGCTCTCCCACACTTAGACAGCTTTTTTAGAACGGATGACCTGTTACTGTCTACATTTTAAATGGTAGGTATTTAAATTGAAAGATATTTGAATTTCTATTAGTCTAGTAGGTACATTTGATATGTTGTTTATTGTGTTGTATTTGTTATTTATTTTCACTTTAAGATTTGCAAACTAAAACAGAAGTCGAATACAAAGTATATTTTTTTAAATCGACCTTTATCGAATATTTTTTAAATTCAGATTCTAAATTCAATTAAAAAAATAGGTACTGATTGTTTTTTTTTTAAAAATAAGTATGGTACGCGGTCCTCAGAGTCCCAATTGTTGCAGTAAGGAAAAAATGGTACTCACTTTGCATTTTTGGGCGTAGTATCAGGTTGGCAGCAGGCTCTGTACCGAAGCACTATATCTGAGGGTGTTAGGGCTTCGGTCTCGTCCGGCGGCGCTTCGCACTCGTCTGTGACGAGCGGCGCCCGCGCCGGCGACGTGTGAGACCCGTACCCGTCGGAATTCAGCTGAAATTAACATCATAATCCAGTATAACATTGTATTAATAGATATTATATAATTGAGATTATCTGTTATTTTTTTTTTTGACCAAAGTTATCCTGCATTAGGGTTTTCTTTCTGAGCCGAGGGATTTTATTTCATCAAATCTCTATGAGAAACTGGTACCTAGAAATCGAGAAGGATATTCAAGTTTCAATCTATTCTCTTTGTGTAGCTCAACTACTTTAAAATAACTAAATAAACAATTCTAAGAAAAGTATCGCTTAGCATAAAAAAACTAGCATTGGTTTTAGGAAAGATATTTGTATTATTCTTTCTGCTTTTTCTTGTCCCAATTTACTTGAGATCGGTACAAAATATTATCTGTTTTAACCGTAACATATTTTTTTTCTTTCCCATCATACCTAATTCCTCTCACGATCAATTCATAACTATATGTACTACTTATGTTCTAGGAATGCTACATATACTTGCCAGTTGGGGTTTCTTCAGGAGGTATTTTGGTTTCTTTTTCACAACAGGCTTCTTTTGCAAATACATATTTATGTTATACATTTTGCAAAAATCGACTTTAAATCAGAAATAATACGGTCCTTAAAATATTATAAATGTCCTTGTGGTCACACTACAAAACTACATTGAAATAAAATATTCGTTGTTGGAAGGATCAGCACTGGTTTTATTACATTACACTTATCTTATAGGCAAAATACTGTTACATTATTTTCTATTAACTACATAAAATCCGTAGTCAAAAATAAGAAAACCAAGTTAAAGTAGGTAATCTAGAGGATACTTTTTTCCGAAGTTATTTTTTTGTTACTTCACGCTTTGAACGTTTAAGTTTCTGATCGTTTCCGAAACACTAAGCGATAAATTACTATATAACATTACACAAAGACATTTTTCATAAATAACACTATGTTTTGTCCAACTAATTAATTAGAGAGACGGTTATAACAAGCACGATTCAACTCCGACTAAGATAAATAACAAGTTTTTGTTTACATACAAAACAAATCGTCATAAGAATAAACAAATGAACTAATTCGTTTACAGATTCGTTTGTTTTGTTTCATAACTGTGGTCAAAATTGTCTACACATCGTCATCATCAGCCTATAAATGCCCACTGCTGAGCAAATACCTCTTCTCATACGGGGAAGGATTGAGTCTGATCACGATGCTGAAGTCGGATTCGTGTTTTAACACTTCACGTCCAGATATCTTGTGTTTTCCATCATGTCAGTGGTGTTTAAATAATTTTGGAAAGCACGTAGTTTATAACCCGGAATCACGGAAAAAGACACGTTGATATCAGCTTTTTAAGCCGCACCCTCATGTACATATGACAATTGTCGACGCAACTCAGAAACAATCAAGAAGGGAATCTCGAATCGGGTTTCCATATAATCTTCTTTTCTAAATATTTTCTTAACAGTACATACCTTAATTGACGATAATCTATCAAATATTTTCATATTTTCATTTAAATAATCATCGTATCTAAAAAAGTGATGACGAATACATCTTGAGGATAAAATAATTAAACGTATATATACATATAAAAGACAAAGTTACACAACATGTTTAGGTCAATTATTTTTACTTCACAGCTCAGACACTACTTATAAAAAGATGATGTCACGGACAAATAAAACGATGCACTAGGTATTGCATGCACAAATTGTTGGACATCTCTAACGATTTTTATGCGGTACACGACTAACAATGCATAGTGCATCACTAATTTCCTTGCTACCGTTTTCAGCTAAGCTGATTGTAACTCTATCCTTATAAGCATCTATGCCTTCGGTGATTGGATGATGCGGCAATATGGCCGTCGCTCAATACTACCTTCCATATTCAAGTTTTGGTATAATTTATAGCTGATATTTTATTTCCTGGCAACTAAACAGATGCTACATTAGAATTTATTGGATTTTTTATTTTGTTATTGCTATGCTAATTTGGTGAATGATGACTGGTCTTGAAATAATAAAATGCGGCTACATATGGTTCATGAAATGCTAAAAAGACGTTAAACGATCTAAAAGAAAGAAAACGATCTAGGGAAGAATGTAATACACATACAGAGAACCTATTTGTTATAAAACTACGGCTTTTCTTTCACTCTACAGTAATAGAAAAGGCGTATGGACTAATATAAACCTTTTTACAAGCATTTTTATCTGACAACAGTTTACAAAATATTGTAGATATTACTAATATCAGAAAGATAAGTTAGAAACAGGTAATAAAATCATATTTAAAAATATGAAAACTGCAATGAGTATCCATTGATCTGAAATGAATACTTAAAGAAATACTTACTATTAAAACAATACGGTATGTACAATTAAATTTCAAGTCGTTGCTCTATAAAAGCTAAAGATATTATACTAAATGGTATTAAAAAAAATTGTAATAGGTAGTTGCTCTTCTCCCATTGGCCCGAAATGAAACGAAGACATTTCAAACGTGACAAACGATTCGTATGCTTCCTTTTTCAAACTTTTAAAGTTATTTTGAATGACACTCTCTCCCATTTAGTTACATAGAAAAGTTTGACAATAATTATGGTGTTCATTTGTTTATCTAAAATACTTTTGCTTGTAGTTGTCTTAAGCTTGGCTTATGGGGAGCAGCGCAATAAAACAACGCGGCCTCGGCCTAGATCAGAAGAAGGAAAAGGGGTGTTTTTAGAAAGTAGAATTTAACACTCCCTCACATCTCCCCTGGGCGGGCGAAGCCACTTGATGGTTTTCCCCTCACGAAAAACTTGGTTTGGTGGTTGTCGTTAATGATGTATCATCAATAAACAAAATCTAATCGTTTATTTTTATTATAACTTTCGTGAGACATTCTAAATTATTTATTATGTTTTCGGCTTACTCACGTAATAATTTGACGAGATACTCGACTAGTTTCGACACGCGACTCGGCGACCGTGTCCGCGTGTCTCGTGTCGCGTGACAGTGACAGTGAGTCGCGTGTCGCGGAATGCTGCTCATGAATATGGGCCTCTAGCATGGCTTGAAACTAGTCGAGTATCTCGTCAAATTATTACGTGAGTAAGCCGAAAACATAATAAATAAAATCTAATCGTCTATACGCTTTTCTTTAAATTCGAATTTGGCTTCTCTCTCATAATTTTTGGTTTGGTTATAATGGTTATTCAACTTCTACAGTCAGCTATTTAATTAAATAAGCGATTCAATCATTAATTACAAGTAACATGAAACATCAGAATTCTCATTGCAGTTGTATGAAGATGAAAATGGACATGAGCTCACTTTGACGATGGTGCCGACCTGGTTTTCTTGAGGGTCGAGCGGCCGTTCCAGCGGCGCTCGGGTCACTTCCTTGTTCTCCGCGTCAACAGGGGCTCCAAGCAACCGCTCCTTCATCTCGTGGATGTAGGGGCAACGCTGCATCGCGATGTAAAACTCGCGAACGCGCACCTGGTAAAACAGAAATGCTTGTTTAAGTAAGACTCGTAAAAGAATAAATTACAAAACCTTCTTTTTTATATGATAGGTCGGCAAACCAGCAGACGAATTGCCTTATGGTAAGTAATCAGCACCACCCGCGCACGAACTGAGGAGTTACGAGTGCGTTGCCAACCTATTGGGGATTAGGGATTGGGGGAGAGGAAAAATTGGGCCTCCGGTAACCTCATTCACACTGCGAAACACAACGCTGTGGTTGTTTCACGCCGGTTTTCTGTGAGGCCGGTCGAGCCGTCCCATTGGTCTTCCACACTTTTTCGAAAACATATTTTAGTCTTGATTTGTTCTACCTACATAATTATTGACTGTTACCTTAACTATAGTATAGCAACAATTAAGAGTAGCTGTACCACAGTAATGTCTGTATATATTAAAGGCTTTTACTTAAATATTCAGTTTAAAAATATTTTTCTGAGTGTTTAAATAACCCAAGAATATAATCAAAGACTTACACAGGAAGGGAACCAAAGATGCGATGGTATTAGATTCCTAAGGGTTAAGAGAGAAAGGAAGCGTAATATCTAGTTACATTATCTTTAAACGCTTTATTAAACAAAGTTTATAATCTCTAGACGAATGTGTGAGTTAATAAGTCATCTAAAGTTCAGTTTTATTAAGTCTTATAACTTCTTTAATAAATTTATTTTTGTGCATCGTCTTTGTATGGTATTATTTTTACGCAACTGATCAACTGTCTCATAATTAATGGCGTAAGCTATTTTCAACTTAGGTATACAATTAACTATAAAGCGCAAAAACTTCGGAAGGGAATACCTGCAATTAAGAAAGAAGGACCTTCCAACGTCAATCCTAAGATTCCTAACAACAAAAAGGTCAGTTAAGCAAGTGCAAAACACTGGCAAGCTTCATGGACAAACCTGATTGTTTTCCATTAGGTTATCTTCCGCGTTTGCCGCCCAATCTTATAAAAAATCTGAAAGTCTTATGAAACAGTAAAACATTATGCTACCTTCTTTATCATCACAGCAATTAATCGATTAAACCATTCAAATATGATTGACAGTCTATTATAATAATTATAGTAACATAGTTTCCAAAAGACTAGCTCATATAGCACTTTAGTTTTCTCTAAACAGTCAAAAAGTCAAAATCATTTATTTCAAATAGACCACAGTAGGCACTTTTGACACAGAATTAATTAATTAAATATAATTCACAAAACTTATACAGTTACTTAACTGTTCTATTTATTCCACTCGACTTACTCCAATTAGCCTCCAATATACTTGCTTTAATGCAATTTGTGGCTCAGAGCAACTTCATCGGGTACAGACAAACCGTGTTTAAGTCCAACGATATCAGAACCAAGTAAGAAGTTTTAGAGTAAAGTTTTAGTTCCAAGGAGTTCGAGTTTCTATATTAAATTAACATCACGGAAAACAATTGCGGAATTATAGAATTTTCATTTAGGACGTTTTTGTACAAGCACCACTAGAGGCGCTAGTGTAGCTGTATGTATGATCTATTCATGAATAGAATATTTCTTGCAAATACCGAAACAAAATTACCAATAGAAAAATTAAATAAATATAAAAATAAAATAATTTATAATAAAAACAAAATATAATATGTCTTAAGATAATTGCTATTAAAAAAAGAATATTAGCTAATTTCAAATTACTAGTCAGTAAACTAATTGGTCGGACAGGATCTAACGCCTCACTAGCGACATCTAGTGACCGCTAAATCGAAAACCTTTAATGAATTGAATAATTTACATTGTTTATATTCATTGTTTTCATATAATATTATGAAACAATCTACATTCCATGACATTATCAAAATTCCTTCGCTATTGTTAACGCAAGTGAAATGTTGAGTTGATAGGGAATGATAGTAATTTTTGCCTAAGATCAAAGATATGTCTTAACTTTCTAAAATGCAAGAAAACTGGTAAAAAGCAAAAGATGATTTTCACGATATTTGAATAGGTAAGTTACATAAAATTTACTACCAAACCCTGACACTACTTGCATCTTGTTTCTACCACATAATGACAGTACAGTCCCAATTTCCGCGAATTGACGCCCATACCGGCTTATCTACCTAATTCCCATTAACCAAGGTTAATAAATCTCATAAGGAAACATAAGTTCATGGCCTCACACACATGGGAAACGCTTCCCATATAGAAGTGCAAATGTTCGCCACCCTGTATATGGCGCGGAGACGTGCGACGAATACAGGGTGCTCCTTCGTAAATGTATGATGCAATGTCTGAAGAGCATCGCATATTCGTTGTATAATAATGTATCTTAGATAAAACTAAGAAAACTAGGAATAGTGGTAATTATCTGAACCTAGGAAATACCGCGGCGCAAGCGCAATATTTACCGCGTTCAAGCTTGGAGTACAAGAAAGAATGGGGTTAGTTTTTAGTCAGTAAGAGTCTGACAGTCCTTCTCTCCGCACGCAGAGCAAGAGAAGTCATTTGTCGACCTTTTTTCAAATTGGCAAGTTATTGGCCGCTATCACGCCTGGTGGTAAGTGATCATTCGATATATGATAGAGCACGACTACCCATAAGCAGCCTATTCATTCGGGCCTTGAAGATACCCTTCACGGAACACAGGCTCCGGCAAATAATTCCTCCCCCTAGCGGTTCTGAATGAATAACTGGAGGCAAAACGAGAAAGAATAATAGAATAATAGAATATCTGTTTAAAATTTCCAATCTCTACAAATAAATATATAAAAATCTCTATATTCACTACACAACTATTAAATAACATCAATAGTGACCTTCAAACTAAACACCATTGATTATTTCCACCTAACAATTATCATAATAATCGTTGTCACAGATTCTACATATCTTATGTAACACATAACCCTTTACACGTTACTATATAAAGTACATTATGTATTGCATTGCAGCGTATGTGCTTATGTACCGGTAAAGTGTGAATTACACTTGCCTGAGCATAGCTAAAGACCTATGAACCATGCAGTATGGAGAAAAGGAGAAGTCTCTGCGGATGAAAAACTGTCTATAAAAATGTTTAAAATAAGTGGCGCCACTGTAGTAAATGGGCAAAATACGCGCGTTTTAGTATTTGTAAATTTGCACACATTTGGATATCTAAGTAGAAGAAAAGATAATTCGGTTAAGTAGGTGTATCGAATTTGACAAGTTTAAAACTACTCTATTGCAATTAAGATATAACGGCTTCTTAGGTCCGTACTCCATGTTATAAACTACCTACACGACACTAAATACTGACAATATTCATCCAAGATGATGTCCTGTTCAATATGAAGTTATTCCAATCTCTTTGTTCGATGTAAGTTACTATAACTTGCAGGCGTTGGCGTAGTAACGAGTTTCTATGCACTGTTGAACTTTTTTAACTGGATTTTGAGTGCATTGAGGCGTTGAGTTTTCATACATATTTGTTAAGATTACTATTATTTGGTTTCTTTTTCTATTATTTGTATATGCCGTTCCAAAAATAAGTTCGCTATCCTTTACTGAACACGATTATGTGAATGAGACAGAACGATATTATATCTCATCAATTTTCCTACATGACAAAAACCTTTTTTATCTTTTTTACGAGTGTTTGTCTGATGTAGCACTACAATACTCTTTCTGAGAAAATATCTAACAATAAGTACTAAAAACGGTTAATTAGTATTTTTTGCTGCTCATAAAAAAAAACTAGAAAGTTACAGGTATCTGCCTTATTTTAGTTGTTTTGTTGAATTATATATTCTTTTTAACCGATTTCAAAAAAGAGGAGGTTCTCAATTCGTATAATATCATAAAGGCATAGAGTTTGTATGCTATTTCGAACGCACTTATCTCCGAAACTACTGGGTCGAATTTAATTATTGGTTTTGTGTAGCTTAGTCTATTTATTGAGAGGAAGTAAAACATCACGCTAAGATCAATTGGAGATGAGATGAAAACGTACGAGATTAGTAGAATAGAATTCTGACTAAGTTTTAAAATGCTGTACGTGATATTCTTACGAGACTTTTCCAGTCACCATTACATCACCAAAAAAGTAAAAGTTACATATAAATTAGCTTGTATTTTTGGCAATCCATTGAATAGTGTCTTCCAACAAGACATATGTAAATGACTGACTGCTCTTATCGGGAACAATAGGATCTCTCCAACAACGGAACTCTTTGTCAACAGAACCGCGAAACGTTTCCACGTGTCAACGTTACGTGGGAGGGATGTCTTCAGGAATCTGACATACGTCAAAGAACAACCTTCATAAACCTACGTTTTGGTTAACAACGTATAAATGTACGATAAATAAAGTCGACATCAATAATGCATATGGAATTGAAATGTAATACCGAAGTGCATAATTTGCAATTAAAATTTATGAGGTGTGTTAAACGTAATTTTAATTGTTTTGTATTTATGTATATTTACTTATCTTAATAGATGCTAACATGACATAAAGTTGTGTTTGCTGTCATGGGCAGAATGCTAATTCATTCCTAATATTACTAAATGACTAGATACTATTTTTATAGACTGTGTCAGATCTCAACTAGGCGAAAGTTCAAATCATTCATTTTTTTTTCAATTCAAAAATAGAACACGAGAATTTTAACTGGCCAGCCACAAAGAAAGTGCCTAATTAGCATCCAACTTCAACTTTCAAGTCAAGGAAGTCAATTAAAAATCCACAGAGTAACAAATTAAAAAGTAACAAACGCTGCATTTCTAACTATGGTACATTATGAGAATTAATTCTGGGCTCGCGGCTCGGAAAAGCTGTCTGAATGCAGAACGGTTTTTGCTGAGTGAAACTGGCATTATGTGGGGAAAATGGTGGCTGTGTGTGGCTCAGCCCGTCTGACCATTTATGGTTGAATTGTGTCTATGTGACAAATGTATGTCTATCGAGGGAAAAAGTAATAGATGCGGTCTGATGTAGGTAACAGGAAAGGTTTGAAGTTGATTT